TCAGAGTGCAGGAGCACAGACAGGAGCAGTTCTCTCTGTGCCCAGCCCGGAAGACCCACACTGAAACACTGTCAGTTTAACTAAATCTTCATAGAACTCACATTTATAAAGAATTATGAACGGACACAGAATCCTTGCACAGATCAGACCAAATTCCAGCTTTGGCACTTAAAAATAAATCCCATTAAAAGAAACAAGTTCTGCTGTGAATTATATATGCTCTCTGGGCTCATCCTGGAACAAACTAAGCAGTTGAATCTGGTAAGCACTTGAATGGGAGGCACCAAAAGATCCAGAGCTTTAAGCTAGACTGAGAAGTCAAACAAACGTTCTTGAAGCAGGCAATGACAAATCAGTTTTGTGTTGTTGCCAAGAAAACTACATGGAAGTGCCTAAGTAATCATCAGGAGCTTAGCTTGACTTGACTGAGTCTTTACCTTTTTATCCCAAAGCTAGTATCTTGGGAAATACTCATATTGCAGTACTGTATAAGTGCTGCTAATCCAATCATGCAGCTCCTATTTGAATTTAAATCATACACTTGAATATCACTGTTGCTTTTGCTTTCAGTTGAACAAGGTGTGCGCGATAACTGGCACCTCTGTTTAGAAGATACATCTTGTTATTGTATGGATCAGCTTTCCCCAACCTACAAGTGGCAGCTATGGCCAAGAGGGCCTTTGCACAGCTTCATCTGATGAGCAAGTTGTACCCTTCATGGATCAGGCAGCCCTCCAGTCACTCACACCCTTGTCATCTTAGGGTTCAACTGTTGCAGTGTGCTCTACTGGGACTGTCCTTGAAGATCACTCAGAAGCTTCAACTGGTCTAGAATACAGTGGCCCAAGCTGTGAGCTGCACTGGTTGCCAGTATGCTTCTGGGTATGATTCAAGGTACTGGTTATTACCTATAAAGCCGTACATGGTCCGGAGCCTGGTTATCTGATGGACCACCAATCTCCAGTGGTGTCTGCCCAGGCAGTAAGAGCTGACAGAATGGGTGTGCTCCAGGTCTCCTCGATTAAATAGTGTCATCTTTCAGGACCCAGGAAGTACATTCTCTGTCACAGCACCTGGAATCAGGTCCCCCCCGAGATCTGGATGGCTCCCACCCTCATGACATTCCAGGAAGCCTTGAAGACCTGACTGTTTTCCCAGGCCTTGTGGTAGGGTAGATGAAACCCCTTATTAGATGTGTTTGTCATACGTTCATATGTTTTATCTTTTTGTATTTTTTATATTGTGAGCTGCCCAGAGTCGGTATGGAGTTGGGCAGTCCTGAAGATAGATAAAGAATAAGACCTGAAGGCCTTTGGAAATATTGGGACTGCAATTCCCAGAATTCTTTGTCTTGATCCAATTAATTTTATCTCGGTGGATGGTCTTGCCACATTACTTTCCCTAGGTCTAGATCTAGTTACACTACTAATAAATCCAAGGAAGCTTTGCTCAGTGATGTTTCTAATCAAAGGAAATAAATCCTGTATTTACCAAACCAGTGTAGGAGTACAGACTTAAA